GATGGTAGAACAGTTGCGCAGACTGCAAGAAGAAAGAACATGTAAAGTGTGTATGGACAAAGAAGTGTCCATAGTGTTTATTCCCTGTGGCCATTTAGTAGTATGCAAAGATTGTGCCCCTTCTCTAAGAAAATGTCCTATTTGTAGGAGTACAATTAAGGGTACAGTGCGTACCTTTCTTTCATAAAGAAGATTCAAAACTAAATTTCAGAATTAATGGGTTAAATGTATTATAATTTTAACTTTTGTACGGACTTGGTTTACTTAAAAATTTTATTTATTTATAACTCATAACCTTTTTAAACATATTTATAGCTCTAAAACATATTAATGCATATATTTTAGAAACAAGAGGATGTCAGGTTTTGTTCTTGTGAACAGAGATTCTCTTCCTTTTGATCAATGTTCTTTACATAGAAGGTCTTAATAGTTGTTTAATGACCTTTTAGTGACATATTTTTATAAAGAATTGTGAGGAACAATTTAATAAAGCAACAAAATTTATTCTTGTTCTTAATGTTTTTATTTCTTTGATAGTAGATATAGTAATTGTGGAGAGCAGCCAATTTGAAAACATGTGATTAAAACATCTGGCCTGTAGACACATGCAGATGAGCTTTTGTAAGCTATTTTAGCAGGGCTATTGAGAGGCATTTATATATGAAAGCAGTATTTGCCTGTTGTCAATGGTTGTCTTTTTGTTGTTATTGATACTCAACACCCTGATACTGCCCAGTATTAGGCTAAAGGAAGTCTCATGTGTTTATTAGATTGTCTTTTAAAGAGATGAGAGAAATTATATGGTGCCAGTTATTTTTTTTTTATTTTATTTTATTTTATTTTAATTTTATTATCATCATAATCTTCTTTCTATTACACTAGATTACATATAACTTTACATTGACTTCCATTGCTTTTTTCAAAAGGGAATGCCATGCATGTCAGTCAATACAGAGATATCAATCTCCCCGCTTTATCATTCAATATCTTTTCCATGCTTTTCCCAATAATTATTATTATAATTTTTTTAGACAGTCAATCACTATTTCTCGTTTTGCTTATTAAAAAGACTTCACCCATCATGAAATACTTTCCAGACCGGTTCAGTTGAGAATACTATACATGTCATCATCAACAGGTAATAAACCATATCTATTTCTCATTAACATCCTGCCTCTCTATTGTTCACTGCTGTCTTTATCCTCTTCTCCCTCCTTTTTTTTTTTTTATACTTTGTTTTTTATTATAAATTTTTTTTTCTCATCACAACACACATATGAATTTTCCATCCAAAATACACTGTGCATTGGCTCAATCAAGCACATCAACATATATGTTCTCAGCAAATGATTTCCCAATTTTTGTGTCCTGCATACCTTGCCTTTTGTTTTGCCATCCTAGGTTCCCCATCCCCACCCTCTGCCATGTCCCATCTTCCTCCTCCATTGTCCCTGACATTCATGATTGCCCTCAATGGCTTCCGCCCCCCCC